AGCGGCGGTCGGCACGCGGAGGCCGTGTGTCCCCACCCCGGCGCCGGGAAAGCGCCGTCAGGGCCGGGCCGCGCGGCGATTTCCTCGTCCGGTGTCCCTGCCGGGTCCTCAGCCACACTTGGTGGCGCTGTGGGCCCCGAGGACGCAGCCAGGGCACCAGGAGAAACGGAGTAAGTCTGCGAAGAGGCCCTGCGGAGTCCGGGAAAGGCCTTGAGAAGCCGTTGTCCCCCTGGTCTCTGGTTTTTGCGGGGTGGGTTCCGGGTGTCACTATGCAGCTCTGGCTGGCGTTGAACTCACTTTGCGGCCCAGGCTGGCCTTGAACTCAGCGGCAGTCCTCCTGCCTCAGCCTCCTCGTGCGCCACCACACCCAGTCCATAGTTTGTTTGAGCCTTTGATTTCTCTTTTTGGCAATGCTGAGGATGGAACCCAGGGACTTTCCCTGCTAAGCCCGTGCTCTACAACTAGGATGCATCCCAACTCTGAATACTTAACAACCGGTAACGGAAAATCCGGAAATTTAGTAACACTGAAAAGGAAGCTTAAAAACTCTATGTTCATGTTTTCTATAAAAGTGAAAATTTGTATAATTCATCCCTGAAACTGCTTCTGCCTGTTAGGACTTGATATATGTTTTTGCCAAAATATATTTTGAACTTCTAACCCCAGTACCTCAGACCAGTAAAATCTACTGGAAGAGGGGGTCCTAACTTAGCCAGCATGACCAGTGTCCTTTCACAAGAGAGGAGACAGATGCACGGGTAAAGATGGAGGCAGAGAGTGGTCTGTAAGAACCCAGGGGCAGCAAGGAACAGAAAACTTGGTGCACATATTTAAGGAGACAGGCTGGGCATGGTGGCGCACACCCCGTACTCAGGAGGCTGAGGCAGGACTGCCGCCCAGTTCAAGGCCAGCCAGAACTGCATAGTGAGACCCTGTCTCAAAAAGAACCCACCCCCAAAAAACGAAAACCAGAGGGACAACTGCTCCTTCTCATGGCCTTTCACAATCTCTGCAGGGCCTGTTTCAGTTGCTCTTTCCCATCCGGGCTGCACTCCCCTCGCAGACTTCACTCCTTTTTAGGGAGACCCTGTTTCAAAAAACCAAACACAAACGTTTCAGATTATTACCTTTTGGGGGAGATCCCAACACTTATATGTGAGTCTTCAGCATGGTCTTACAGGGCCACCTGGTAAGAAATTCTGTTGAGAGTCACCCATCAGTCACTCCAACAGGAAAATACTGTGACAATATTTTTAGGCACCTTGCACAATCTGACACTGAACATTTCTCTCTTCTTTTTAATAAAAGGACTCCATGTAACTGAGTACGAGGACAATTTGAAGAAGTCCTGGGTGTGGAAAGAGCTATACTCTGTTAGAAACATCAGACCGTCGTGCCATGGGATCCTGGGTGTGTACGGAGGGATGATTTACACTGGAATATTCTACTGGATTTTGAGAGGAACAGAGCCATGGACCCTAAAACATAAAGGTAATCAGACATTTGAGAGTACCCAGGTGCCAGCTCACTCACGAAGGGACCCAGTACGTGGAGAACAACGTAACCTTGTCCAAATGTTTTCAACCTGCTTTCCAGGAGGCACTGTTAACTCCGCATCTTCCAAGGAACAGCCTAGGGTTATAAAGGCTGAAGTTTTTTATTTTTTCCAAGCTTTTATAGCATGCTTACGGAAGTACCTGCAGGGTGAGGGCCAGTGGTAGGGGTGTACCTGGCAAGGGTGAGGGATCCCGAGCACGGGAAAGTACATGAAGATTGTCATCTCATTAGCTGTCTCCCCACATGGCTGAAGGCTCTGACTCTGACCAGCTCAAACCGGCGAAGGACTGCACGCCCATCGAGTACCCCAAGCCCGACGGCAAGATCAGCTTTGACCTCCTGTCGTCCGTGGCTCTCAGCGGCACCAACCACGAGCACGACCAGCCAGCGCACCTGACCCTGAAGGACGACGGCGTGCCGGTCCGCAGGAACCTGTCCGTGTACGACGGGCCCGAGCAGCGCTTCTGCCCGGCGGGTGAGGGCTTCCTGCCGGCCCCAGTCACAGCCGTGTCACGCAGACCTTGCTCTAGCACCTTACAGACTAGGTCCCCGCTATTTCTTTCTATCGTTTGCATGGCTGTGACTCCTGCGTTCAGCTTCCTGTAGGAAATGCGCACGTCAGTGAGCAGGGGTCGGTAGGAAATCTGGGCTAGGCCTAGCGCAGGCGACATCGCTGCAGCTTCTCATGTGTATCTCCGAGCGAGGCGAGGGTCACGGGGTGCAGAGGCGTACCTGTTCTCGTGACTCTAGAGCAGCTCGTGTGTCCACGTTAAAAAAGGTTACGGCTACACTGAGTTCACTGAATCACCCCAAGATTTTTTAAAGGCTGGGACTCACTATGTAGCCCAGGCTGGCCTCGGACTCACAGTAATCCTCCTGCCTCAGCCTCCCCAGTGCTGAGATGACAGGCATGTGCCACCGCGTCCAGCTGAGTGCCCTAAATTTTTATGTTCATGATAAATACTGCATCTTTTAGTGCGAGCTTTGAACTCAAATCACAGTAATGGGAACCAAGCCTCAGGATGTGACAGGATAGTATTCAGACACCTGAAAATCAGTGCATTCTCGGAGACTAGCATGTAGGTAAGCTCTCCATGGGCAACGACCTCAACTACCTTTTGACTAAAGAAATCATGTCGTTGGGGCTGGGGATATAGCTCACTGGCATAAGCGCCTGCCTGGCAAGTGCAAGGTTGTGAGTGCGATCCCCGACACCGCAAAAGAAAAAAATCATGTTGTCACGGTGTTCTGAGGGTAAGGGCTGTCATCTGTTTCCTCAGCGACAGCGTAGACACGCTACGTGGAACTCAGTGCTGTGCAGAGAACCATCGGAGACCGACCTTAATGGGCGCTCCCCTTAATGGGCACGCAGTTCACACCAGCAGCAGCAGCAGCTCACAAGAGCTCCAGGCTCTCTCTGGGTGAACGTCCGCAGACAGCCTTTTTTAAGGTTTCTGAGCCAGGCCTGCTCGTGCATGCCTGTGATCCTAGCACTCAGGAGGCTGAGGCAGGAGGATCACCACGAGTTCAAGGCTAGCCTGAACTATGTAGCAGGACCCTGTCTCACAAAACAAAACGAAATTTTTGTAGCAGATCTTTTAGGGTGCTAATTCCTACTTACAAATTTCTAAAACTTAAACTATTTTATTATTTTTGCTTTACAGGAGTTTATGAATTTGTACCCTTGGAACAAGGTGATGGATTTCGACTGCAGATAAACGCCCAGAACTGTGTGCACTGCAAAACATGTGATATTAAGGACCCCAGTCAGAACATTAACTGGGTGGTGCCTGAAGGCGGAGGAGGACCTGCCTACAACGGAATGTGAACTGCAGCTGGTTCCACTGGCAGGCGCACTTCATAGTCAGATTCTTTAAAATGCGGCTGTGTGGCAAGCTAACTTTACAATGTCTTGGTGGGGCTTGGTGGTGCACCCCTGTAATGCCAGCACTCAGGAGGCTGAGGCAGGAGGACTGCCGAGTGTTCAAGGCCAGCCTGGGCTATATAAGTGAGTTTAAGGCCAGCCTGAACTACATAGTAAGACCCTGTCTCAAAAAACCAAGCCAAGGGGCTGGGGATTTAGCTCAGCAGCACAGCGACTGCCTGGCAAGTACAAAGTTGTGAGTTCGATTCCCAGTACTGGGGAAAGAAAAAAAAAAAAAAACCAAGCCAAAAAATAATAATAATTGTTTTGAGGTCAACATATATCCTTCACAAAGTAAGTATCAGTAAAACAAAAATTTTATACAGTATATAACTGTCTTATGAAAATCATGAATTATTTCTCTTAAATAAAGCACTATGCAGCATCTACCTACCTGCTTAGTTCTTTAAAGACTTTAGTACCAAAGCAAAATGCACTCCTGGCCTTTACATCTGACTTGCCAAATTTCTATCGGGTATGAAAATGAAGATACTGTAGACCAGGAGGTGACATCCAGCTCACCACTTGTTATGCATAAAGTTTTATTGAAACACAGCCACATCCATTGCTTACACATTGTCTATGAGTAAGAAGTTACACTTGTGTTACAACTGCAGAGCTGGGGAGCTGTGGCAGACTGGAGGGTCCACAAAAGCTGAGCACGGGACTATCTGGCCTTTTGCAGCACGTGTGCCAGCCCCTGAACTTTCCCCGCAGACAGAAAACACTAGCACAGACTACCACAGATACATTAAGGATCAGAAGAAACTACAAATATAAATACACAAACTCAAGCTTGCATCTGTTCGTTAAGTTATGACTCAGGAATTTAAAACCAGGCTGGACACCACTCTCTGTGAAAGTACAGGAAACAATTACAGGAGATCAACTTCACTGGCATTTTGTAACGCTTTTATTATGAGGGAAACTATCAGTATCTCTAAACTGTAAACCATGAGGAACTGGAGTGTCAAGGACACACGGATACAGACAACTCTCACACTGTGTTACTGCCTCAAACAACCTATGCGTGGTACTCAGGCAAAGGGAATACTCATTAGGCGAACATTTTGGCATACGCTGCTTTCTCTTTATCTTTCTGTGCCTTCATCTTCTGTTTGACTTTCAGCAGTTCTGCCTGGATAGCTGCAGGGGAAAAAGTGCCGTGAGCGCTTTCTCTCAGTGGCATTGCTCGGTTGTGCGGACACTTCATGCCGTCCACCTTGATAAAACCGCCCCACATCAGAGCCCCACTGACAGGAGGTTCTCAGTGCTCACAAGAACCATGGGGCATAACCTCAGAAGACGACAAAACTCAACAGAAAACACTGGCCATCGCCCGTTCCACTAGACAGGGCCTTAGAAGAGATCCAAGCTTATTTTACTTTTCTTCCTCCTCTTGTGGTCAAGAGGGGTCACACCCAGGACCTCACACGTGCTAGACACGTGCCCCACCCCTGGGATACCCCCCAGAACCTTGTATTTTGAGACAGGGTCTCAGTTGCTCAGGCTGGCCTTAAATTTGAGATTTTGCTTCAGCTTTCTGCGTACCTGGGATTACCAAACGTATTTAAAAATATTTAGCTCTAGGATCACTATGCGTATTTTTTAAAAAGCAAGTTGATTTCTGTCATAGCTTCTCTTAAGCTCAATCGCTAGAATACTAGAGGTTACAGCGACATCCAGTATACAGGTTTGTGAGCACTAACCCTGTCATTTCAGCTCTCTGCATTAAGATTAGCTGATTACTGAGCACACTCCTGGCGTGTCACGGAGGTGTGGCCTTGGGTACCACGTGTGGTCTCTCGCTGGTTCTTCTCCGGGACTCCTCCTGCTGACCTCCACCACGCCCTTCCAGCATGATGCCTGCGCCTCCGGCCTGCTGACCACGGACTGAACCCGAGAGCCGTGAGACAGAGTGGGCCGTGGGTGCTGGGTCAGCAGTGGGGAGTGGCAACACGGGGACGGTCCCACAGGTTAGATTTGTGACACTTCATTTCTTAGTGCTGAGTCTCAAGTGGTAAGGTGGACCAAACCCCCCAGTGAGTGAGAACTACTATGTTCCTGAAAGGAATTTCAGTGTATGCTCTGTGAAGACAGGGACCCTGCCTGTCTTGTTCACTGCTTTATGATCAGTGCCTTTAGCCTAGTAACATACTCTGTAGTATCTGTCAGACAAGTAAATATCTGGCAAAGTTAACTGCATACTGGTTTATGAGGATAAGTTCTTATAGAATAAAAGGAACTTTTATACAGAAACTAACTTACCTTTATCTTCTGGTGCTATCTCTTGAGCTTTCTTAAGATCAGCCTTTAATTGGAAAAAAAATTTGGGAAAAAAATTAGACATATGATTTATAAAAATCAGTTTATTTTAAAACATTCAGAACAAAATTTACCAATGCTTGATCATATTCTTTTAACCCTTGCCATCCTTGAGCTCTGCGATACAGTGCTTTGGTATTCGACGGGTCTATTTCAAGAGCCTACAAAAAATTGTAAAATTAGTATCAACACTTTTATAAACAGGATGACTATCAGATCCCCCTATTCCTCAGTGGACATGGGGCTGGAACCTATCCACGGCTCCTCCTTGCGCCCTGTGGCCCGGCGAGAGGACACACAGGAGGAAGGGTGCTGGTCCAGGGTTCCAGTGAGCTCTTCTCAGCACTGTGCTCGCCAGCTCCCCGCTGGCCCGAGCTAGTAATTCCTAAGAAAACTGCCTGAATACAGGTCTGGAGGCGCTGCTCTCTGGTATCGGGACTGGTTCTGGGAGAGCCCCAGCCACCCTCAAACCACACTGTGGGGATATCCAAGTCTCTTATGTCACACAGCACAGTATTTGCATGTAACCTACACACACACTCACATACCTTGTGTCATTTCTACATTACTCATGATACCTAGTACAACATGATACTATGTAAATAACTGTTCAGCTACTGCCATATTAGCCAGTGGTGCCACACGCCTATAATCCCAGCACTTGGGAGGCTGAGGCAGGAGGATTATTGTGAGTTCAAGACCAGTCTGGGCTACAAAGCGAGCTCAAGGCCAACCTGAACTGCATAGCGAGACCCTGTCTCAAAAAGACACACACAAACAAAAAAAAATTACAGCCATATTGTTTAGGGAACAGTGACAAAGAGTACATGCTCAGTATGAAAGAAATACTCAAGGCTGAGTGAATCTGAAAATGGAACTGTGGATACGGGGGGGCATGAACTACACACTTCTAATTGAAATCTAGATGCTTACTGACATGAATAACTTGGTTCCTCCTCAAAACACTTTAGAAATACTCTGTGGCTTATGCAACATCTTTTAATAGTCCATATTCAAGATTTTTACTGAAAAGCGAGTACTATTTGTCTCACAAAGCTCAAAAAGATCCAGTGTGAAAGCTACTCTCCTTCCGGTAACTTGCATCTTCTGGTACGTGTCCCCATCGAAAGTGTGTCTCAGGGCTGGGGCCGCGCTCAGTGACAGAGGGCTCACGCAGTACACGCGAGGCCCTGGGTCCCATCCGCAGGACTGCATCTTTTCTTATCCTCTCTTCCACCAAATTAGAACTTTGTTTCAGTGCTAAAGATCAAACCCAGGGCCTCATGAATGCCAGGCAAGCACTCTATCCTTGAGCTACAGCCCCAGCCCGACTCTCATTTCAGTTCTACTCGCTCTAAGCGGAGCTGATCTATGTACACAATGTGCAAAAGACATACACTCCGCCTGGGCGGCCTCGGAGCAGGCTATCCCATGCGCTCGTCCTGCCTCTCTCCAGGCCAGGCAGCCCCAGGAGCCTGCACTCCTGCGCCCGGCTAAGCTACAGAACACGACCTTTCAGGTCGTCTCTGTTCAGTGCACCCAACGGGCCAAGCACAGAAACAAGCCCTTCAAACACATGCTACAGAATGTCATGTACCTGCGCCATGGCAGGATACTTCCACTTTATAAAGAAACGAGGACTCCATACAGGGAATCTACCCAGACCACAGAGCTGCGGAGGGGCAGCAGTCTCACTCTGAAAACCAAGTCAAGGCAGGGCAGACCTGGGTGCTGCAGCGCTCGCCTACCGGGCGCAGGCCACACCCACAGCCACACTGGCATTCACAGCTCCGCGTCCCCGAGCCGGGCGGGCAGCAGGCGCTCTGCAGCGAGGGAGTGTTCCGCGCTCCTGTCCTCTGAGAAGGAGCAGGTGTCTCACAGCCACCCAATGACCGTGTTACAACGAGTCAACGGGCCGAGGAGCACGGAAGGCCCCGAACACTTGGGGACAGGACGACCTGAAACGCGCCTGCCTGCCTCTCCCCAGGCCCTGGTGGGCAGGCGTTTAGGGCACAGGGACAGGCTTTCTCGCTTGAGTCGTTCAGTCAGAACCCCACACCTTCAAAAGGCCCAACGCCACCAAGACTCACCTCCAAACAGCTGTCGACGGCCCCCTGCCAATCTGACAGCTTGAGTTTACACGCACCGATGTTGAGCACGCAGCTCAGGGCCACAGGCTGCAGCCGGGGCCCGGCCGCCGGAAGAACAGCCTTGGAGCTGTCCACGTACCTGAGGAAGAAAGCAACGCGTGACCAGGGCGCCGCGAGGCCAGACGACAACGTCAGAGTGCGTTTCTTCTAGCATGAAAAGCTGGTCGAATGCTAATTTGATACTCTGATGACAACCTCACGAAACACCTTCTCTTTGGTGTGTGCTAAAAACTGAAGTCGGGGCTGGGGACGCAGCTCAGTGGCAGAGTGCCTGCCCAGCGCGCAAGGCCCGAGTTCAGCTGCCAGTACCACCAGGGAAGAGAAGACTGACGTCAGGGCCCCACGCGTGCACAGCACACAGCCTGCCCTGAACGACACTCACGTCCCACTGTCTTCAGAAGGTATTCTCCTGTCTTCAAGGTTTTCCCCCAGAGTGTCCAAAAGGCCAGTGAAAGGATAGTTCCCCAACCTAATCACGCGCTAGTAGCAACACAGCTGTCTTCAAAACTCAAAATGAAGAGCCCTTGTAAACGGAAGAATGCTAGCTAGTAACTGTCGGGTGTACATCAGAAAAACACTTCTTCAGGGATCAGATGGGTGTGGTGGCGCACACCGGTAATCCCAGCACCCTGGGAGGCTGAGACAGGAGGGTATCAATCCAAGCTCCTCCTGGCAACTTAAAATAAAAGGTAGGCTGGGGCTGTAGCTGTGAAAGCCCGAGGTTCAATCCCTGGTACCGCCAAAAGCTAATAATGAACGAATGAAGGAACGGCTGTGGAACTAGGTCTTCTCCGGATCTCACGGCCTCATCTCATGGGGTACTGATACGTACAAAGAGCAAAATGCACTTTTGTCACACAGACATCAGGCCCCACGGACCGGCCTTCAGCATGTGGAAATACTCTACACAGCAGCGCCAACCCAAAGCCCCCTGCCGAAGTATTTAGCCCTTAATTAACATTAATAAAACAGTCCTATAAAGATGCCTGAGTCGGACTCCACAAAAATGCAAAGGAACAGAGACGCAGGAGGGGTGAAGCACAGATGACCCCAGTCTGAAGACACACTGCAACCTAAGAGGACAGCACCCGGCCTCAGTGCAGGCCCTGGACTTACGAACAACGACCTGAAACCACTGGGGATTTGAAAACACATTTCATGTTGGCTGTTACTGCACCTGTCACCGGGGGACGGGGGTTAACAGTGCTGAAGTTACACGGAATGTCCTTGTATTTGCTCAGGAAATTCTTGGGGGAACTTCCTTTGAAAGAGTTTTGCAACAACAAAAACAGCACGTTTAAAGCTGGTGAACATAGGTGAAAGCGTATGAGTGATAATTTCTATTCTTTAAACTTCTCTGTATTTTGAAAATTTTCAAAATGAGCTGGGGCAGCAAAAGACGTACCCATGTATTCTATTAAGTAATTGGTAAAGAATAATAAATGATTCTGAATTTCAGTTTATAATTCACCTTACAAGTTCTTTAAAAGTAATCTTATTTTAAAATGCTTTATTACTTGGGGCGGAGGTGTAGCTCAGTGGCAGAATGTGCCTAGCATGTGCAAGGCACTGGGTTTAATCCCCAGCACCACACACACAAAAAATAAAAATAAAATGTTTTATTACCTTAAAACCTTTGTGTATTTTTTAATGGCCATCTCCCAGTTCTGAGACTTGAAAAAAGTATTTCCAATGTTTTTTAAGTCTTCTGTTATTAATAAAATTTTATCTACCTGTACAAAAGAATACAAATACATTGGCTGTTGGTGACTAATACGGCGACGCTCGATTCTATCTTCTATCAGACTGATGCAAAGCACAAACTTTCGGCTCACACAGCTTCTTCCTGGGAGTCCGACTGACCCGCCGGTACTCACATCTGTGAAATCCACATCTGCATCCTCAGGGAAGTCTGGGTGGCTGTCGCCAGAACCATCTTTTGGGAATATTCCCCAGTCGTCACCTTCTTTCAGTTCTCCACATTCTGCAATAACGCACAACTGTAAAACAGCACAACATTGTCGAAGGGCGCTACCGTATCAACGAGAGATTCGAACTGAGTTTCAAAGCTGTACAGCTGCAATTCGTGTGTGACACCACCCAGCTCACGTCAGGGGCTCGTCCATCTGCTACAGCTGCACCCCGCTATACACATCCAACCAATGCAGATGTCACTATGTACATCAGTATTTGACTGCTGCCCTGGAGCTCAGACATTTAGCTGTCTTTAGACGAGGCACACGCTTTTAATTTACCACCATTCCCCTCACAAACGAAGTGCCGGTCTACGTCCTCCAAGGATGAGTTTCCAATTCCCATGCACAGCCGTGGGTGGGAGGTGGGAGGGTCTTCCTGACTCACGTTTACAACACAGAAGTCCTCGGAAATGACCAATTCCAGACCCTTTAGACATTTATACAGGATGAGGAAACTGGCCAAGAGAAGTTGAGTAACACGGCCAAACCTCTAGGCCAACAGCGCGGCGTGCATGAGAAACAGCTTTGCTGTCCTCTTTGCACCGGACGCCTCTGCACACTAACTCAGCGGTTCCCAGGCACGAGAACATGGGAGCAGCCCAGCAAACGTGGAGGCTGAAGGTGACGTAAACCACGCTCATCTGGGAGGCGTATTTTAGCTGTACGCGGCGGCGCGTGCCTGTAACCCGGCACGGCGGGGCGGGTGGGCAGGACAGACCAGGACCCTGTCTCCAAAAAAGTGAAGTGCGGGAAAGCAAGCAGGGCTGACTGAAGCTTGGCTGCCAGCCCACAGGCTCCCGCACCAGGAGGGCTCTAACTCCCACAGACCAGCCCCGCCTCTGAACGCCCCCAGGAGGGGGGCCTAACTCCCCGAGCGACGGCTCTGGGGCTGGGCTAGCGGCTGCCGTCTCTGGCTCCGCCCTCCCCGGGTCCTCCCTCAGGGCTGCCAGGGGCGCCTCAGCTTCCACCTGCCTAGGGCCAGCAGAGCCAGCTGACTAGGGACTGAGCCTTCTCAAACCTCTCCTCCTCTGGGACGATTTCCTCAAGAGGCAAGAGGAAACATTTTCCAGCTTTTCCTGATGACCATCCCACGCTTTAAACTCACATCTCTGAGACAGTGACTAAAGTAAGAACGTTTCGGTTCTACTTACTTTGGCAGGTTTTTCTCCATTCACGTCCACATTTTCCAGCACCCTGGCCACGCCTATTCCTTTAATTACTTGCCCAAACACCACATGCTTCCCATCCAGGTGTGGGGTTGGAACCGTGGTGATAAAGAACTGGGAGCCGTTTGTGTTGCGGCCCGCGTTCGCCATGCTCAGCAGCCCCTCGCGGTCGTGCTGCAGAGACGGAAAGCATTGGGCACAGAGGTCAGAGGTACGCTCCGAACTGTTCTACCGGCCACTCACAGAAAACCAGGCTGGCCTGTATTACTGTTTAGATTCAACTCTACTCTTTAATTATATTTAAAAATCTATACATTACCCTTTACTTCCAATTTATATGAATTGTAACCATATTGTTTGTTTTCTGAGACCAGATCTTGCTATGTAGTCCAGGCTGGTCTTGAACTCACTATGTAGCCCAAGCTGGCCTCAAACTTGCAGCAATCCTCCTGCCTCAGCTTCCTGAATGCTGGGACTACAGGCATATACCACCAGACCCAGCACAAATTGTAGCTTTTAAGAAATGAACAGAGTACTTAGTCACTTTTTAAACTTTAAGACAGGCATAAAAATTAATTTGGGTACCAATATAATAGTAAGGGGTCTTATTTCTAAGCTGGCCATCTTGAAAAGACACTTGTATTTCCGTTCTTCCTCTCTCAGATGAAGAAGCCGCATTAAGGAAGTCTAGTACTAAGCGCTCCCTGTTTACGATGGAAACTCTTGTGTAGGAAGACCGTAAGTCTTCCCAGAAGACTTCTGCAGAAGCGGCCTCCACTAGGGTTCTCCCTGGACACATCAGCAACTGCAGACAGGAGCAGCACGGCGAACTGCACAAGCCATTCAGCTAGGTGCTTTCCTAACCACAAACGACTCCGAACCTTACAGCTTGTGTCCAGGTGAGTCGGCTCTTTCAGAATGTGCCGAAGAAGCGGCTACACACGTTGAAATAAAGACTCTAGCTTGGCCTCCCCGTTCAAAGGCTCCAGGACACCCAGTCCCGTCCACCCTCCGTTCTTCCCACTGGTGCACACACCGTTTTAACTTCCCCTCCTAGAACGCCCCACTCCTCCCATCTACGGAAATCCCGCTCTCGCCCCGAGTTCGCACAACCCAAGAACCACGTCTCCCCTCAGCAGCTCCCACCTTCCGCCCACCCGGTCCCCATGCAGTCTCAGTTCTCGGTCTAGCAGCCTTCCACGGTGCTTCTCCCCAGTACCACACAAACACTGACCTTCCTCCTCAGCTGCCTGGCGCCGTCCTCTGCCTCACCCGCGCGGCTTCTCCACTTCTGAGTCGGTCTTTCAGTTCCTGCCTCCCCCGGCCTGGCCTGCTCGGCCTCTGCCCCGCCCCTCCTCAGCCCCCGGGGGCCTGGACCACAGAAAGGACGCCTTTCTCCTCCAGCACCATGGACATAAGAACAGACCGCAGGTGAGCACCCCAATCTGAAAATCTGCAATTTTACAGGCCACAAAGTCTGCAACTTTTGAGGAACAGGACTCAAAATATTTCCGATGTCAGATTTTCAGAGTAGGGAGGCTCAACCTGGGGCCTATGCAAACACTACAAATGAAGGACATCTGATCTGAAATACCTTTTGTCCCAAGCATTTCACAGATGTGATACTCAGCCTGTATCACGTTATACAAGCGAGTATATTCGTCACTTTAGCATTTACCCGTGTGCTACTATTCTCCAGCTTGTCCGAAGTGCTTTCACCTTGACTGTGAGGTAAGATTATGAACTCCTCATCATCAAGGGCTTCGTTTTTACGAGCTTATTGGGCCATGACAGAACTGAGCACACAGTCAGTCAACAAATACTATTTACAAACTGATGACATTTTCTGCTGGGTGAGGCGGCGCACACCTGTAATCCTGACATTCAGGAGGCTGAGGCAGGAGGATCACTATGAGTTCGAGGCCAGCCTGCATTACACGAGACCCTACCTCAACACGCTCCAAACACCCCCCACCCCCACCAAGAAGAAAAAAACACGGATGATCTTTTTTTCAAATGATTGTCAGCTGCTCTGTTCACATTCCTCATTTCAAAGACGGAGCCTTGCCTCTGCACCTACACGTCTGTTCTGAGAACTTCAGCGATGCAGTGTACTCTGCCTAGACCTCGGGACGAGGAAGTTAAGAGGGCACCAGCACCACCAAGGCCCTTCAGCAGCGAGACATCAACCGTATCGGACAGTCTGAAAATCCCCGACACCTGGGCATCAGCCATGCTCCGCTGCGCTTCAGACCCAACGGCAGCGATGCGCAGGTTACATCTTCACGGTAGTGGAAACTGTTTCCGCAATGCGTTCTGCACTTCTAAGGACACTCACCGCTCAACCGAAGCAGTGAAACTTGGAGCACAGCCAGCTCACTGTGGTATTCTTGCCAAACAAAAATCACTGCTGGGTGAAAGTTTTCTACACTGAAGACGTACACTGCGCTGAGGGTTAGCTCAGTGGTGGGGTGCTTGCCGAGTACGCACAAGGCACTGGGTTCAACCGCAGCCACACACACACACACACACACACACACACACACACACACACACGCGCAGCATTTACAAACATGCTTCCTTCTGTAAGAGAAGAATTTAAGTGGTTTTGCTCTACGAAAGTCCCTAAAAAGGACAGAGTCTTGGGTAACCCACTCGGGCCCCCTTGTGTCCCTCTCTTGGACAGAGGCTTTCTTTCCCTCGATAAATATATTCTGCTCTTAAAAGAGAAAAGCATTTAAGTACACTCAAGACATTTTTACTGTCTTGCTCCAACAAGTACATTTCAAGCACATAAGCTTTTTATTAACAAAAGCATGCGTTTTCTTTACCTTATAATGAAAGTTTTCATCTTCAAATTTTTCACCATAAATACTTTCTCCACCTGTTCCATTCTGATTTGAGAAATCTCCACCCTGAATCATAAATTTCTTAATAACTGCAAAAAAGGAAAATGGCTATTAGTGACTTAAGCATGGATGGCTTTGGCAATTTTTTTTGGCAATAGTAACTAATGAGTATATATCAATGAAGACAACTTCCACAAAGCATGACTTTAGTCGGCCATGGTGGTGCAGACCTGTAATCCCAGCACTCAGGAGGCTGAGGCAGGAGGATCACTTTAAGTTACAGGCCAGCCTGGGCTACAAAGTGAGCTCAAGGCCAGCCTCAATTGCATAGTGAGACCCTGTCTCAAAAAGACAAAAGAAAAAAAAGCATGATTTTAGCTATGGCACTCTGCTATCTGCCCACCCACCTACCTCAACAACTTCTGAAGGCTTTTTTTTTTTTTTTTTTGGTCTTTTTGAGATAGGGTTTCACTATGTAGTTCAGGTTGGCCTTGAACTCACTTTGTAGCTCAGGCTGGCCTTGAACTTTCAGCAATCCTCCTGCCCTCAGCCTCCCGAGTGCTGGGATTACAGGTGTGTGCCACCACCAATGTACTTTTTAACTGCCTGGTCTGTCACTAACACTCAAAGAATTAGTTTAAACAGCACTACTCAGATAAAACTGTCACTGAGACTGAAAGATGAACTGCCTAAGTTTTCTCCCACAGTTATCTTGACTCGGCTTCCATGTATAACATACTGAGCTGTCTCTTCCAACAATGATAATGTAACAATGAACGCAGCAGCTTTTTTATTCCTTAACAAAGTATATAGTCACTCAATAATGTCCACTGCATAAAGATCAACTATCCCCAGATTTAAAAAATTCTAATGGAAATATTTCAGCAAATGCTACCACTTTGTATTCAGAGATCCTTGGCAATCGAGACTGCGTTTGGTTTTATTACAATGATAAGGGGACACGGCCGGGGAAGGGGGAAGACACAGGCAGTCCTTGGGGGATCACCGCACAGACTCCCTCATGCCTCTCTCCCATCAGAGTCACAGAACACACTCTTCTCCTAGCCACAGAAACGCAGAGGCGTGTACGATGCTGAAGAAGCCAATCACAGACTCAGCACCCAAAGCACCGCACTTAGAGCCTTAGCGCATCGGCTGCCTCTGTTAGCATGCTCTAAAATTCCACACTCAAGGAAGCAGTCGTTCAGCACAAATTACAAGGCTGTACAAACAGACCAGACGGAGTAAATCACTCTTATGAGTTGGGAAAGATGCAAGCAAGCTCCCAAACTCCTGCCAACTTGGAAGGGAGCCCTAGAAAGGACAGTGGTCTCCAGCCTGCTATGTTAACTATTTCCCACACACACTTTGTTAGCATATTTTGATATTTTCTTAAACGTAAATCTATAGTTTAAAATATTTTCAAGTATCAATGACTTCTCTTAATAAATCGAGTTTGTTTTTTCTTAAGTTAGTATACAGCTCAGGCTACAGCAACTGTCACACAGAGACACCTGGGTTTGATTCCCAGCGCCACACACAAAGCTCTCATCTATGACTATAACGTATACTAGACATTTAACTCATCAGCCTCAACCTCAGATTCTCAGACTACTGGGATTATGGTATGCACCACTTCACCCAGCTCAGCAGTACTTTTTTTTTTTTTTTTTTCCAGACAGAGTCTTGCTGTATAGTTCAGGCCACCCCTGAATTAACTATATAGCCCAGGCTTGCAGCAATCCTCCTGCCTTAGCCTCTTGCATCAGCCTCCCAGTGCTGGGATTACAGGTGTGCACCACTACACCCAGCTCAACAGTACTTTTAAAATTTTACCCTCCCTTAGTGTCTTCTTCCTTAACTCTTTAAAGAATAGGAATTTACTATCTGTATGAAATAATCAGAGGCAGAAAATTTTACACATACTTCGATGGAAAGGGCATCCTTTGAAATGAAGAGGTTTCCCCGTCGTGGGTCCAATGCCTTTTTCTCCAGTACATAACGCACGAAAATTTTCCGCAGTTTTGGGTACAATATCTGCAAACAATTCTAAAACAATTCGACCAACTAAAAGAGAAGAAAATCTTGTCAGTATGCAAAACAAACCAGCAAATAAGCAAATGACAAAAAGGTAATTGGTGTACTTACGGTAAGAGATCACTCACAGATGACTAAACTCTATTTATCTTTCTTTGGGCAATTTCAAGGACACAATACACTGTTACCAGCTGTAATCACAACGTTGTACAACAGCTTTGTTGAACTTATCTCCTTTTCTAACTGAAATGTTACAAACCAACATCTCTTCAGCCCCTGGTACAGTATCTATGCTTCTTCTCCCTGTGACTTCAGCATCTTTACATTCAACTTAGTGAGACGATGATATGCAGCTTCCTACATCTGGATTATAGCACTTAACATACTGTCCCCTCCCATCATCCCCACTGTCACAAACATCAGGATCTGGTTTTTAACAATTCTTTTCTATGGACACACCACACTTTATGCATATACTGACGGAGACATAGCTGACTCCATTCTCTCGGCCACCGTGAATAACGCTGCAAAGAACACAGGAGTGCAGGCATCTCCTCGACATACAGATTTCATCTCCCTGGGTGTGAACCTAGCAGTGGGGCTGCAGGACGTTACTGTCAATTTTAGTCTAAGTGTTTTGCATCTAGATGAATTTGAAACATCACACAAAGGATCAAAATCAATTACAGCGGCCAGCAGATAAGCACTAGGTAAGAACACCATTAAGTACAAATGGTTTTGAATCCGGAACAGCATCACAGGTACAAGGTTCCAGTCACTAAGTAGCCAAGAGGAGAAAATTAAACACCCTTTGGATGGTCAAACTGGCCAAATTTTATGTTTATGTAGCCTTTCTGTTCTGTGGGTTTGTATTTTGGGGGTTTGGTTTTTTTTTTTTTCTTGTCTTTTTGAGACAGGGTCTCGCTATGCAGTTCAGGATGGCCTTGAGCTCACAACAATCCTCCTGCCTCAGGCCCTCAAGTGCTGGGATTACAGGCATGAGCCATGACACCCGGCTTCTGATTTGTGAAAACAGCTTCTAAGACAAAAACCGACAAAGCTCTTCTATCCAATTCCTAAGACAGGTGAAAATAAAACTAGCATTAGCTCCAAAACCAACTGAAAAGCCCACCCGTGCGTGTATCGTGCGTTTGTGCGTTCCGTGCATGCGTTTCAACACAACGCCTGGCCTGCAAATCTAACCTGTTGGAGAATAAGCCCAATTCAGGCACAGACGGCCTAATTAACAAAGCGCTGGGCGGGGGGCGCTTCCTGTGTATCCTAGGCAACCGCAAGGCCGCCTGGAGCTCAACTCCTCAACGCTGCAGTAAGAATGATCACCGACCTCGCCGGCCCTCCAGGATGGGCACCAGCGGGGAGGACAAAGCACGACCGCGGCGACCGCGTGAGCACCTCGGCGGGGAGCGGCGCGAGCGCACAGCCCCGGGGCCCAGCGAGCTCCCCCGGCGCGCACGCG